TTTTTTTCACTGTTTGTTTTTTTCACCGTTTGTTTTTTTCACAGTTTATTTATTTCACTGTTTGTTTATTTATTTCACTGTTTGTTTATTTATTTCACAGTTTATTTATTTCACTGTTTGTTTATTTATTTCACTGTTTGTTTTTTTCACCGTTTTTTTTTTTCACTGTTTGTTTTTTCCACTGTTAGTTTTTTTCACCGTTTGTTTTTTTTCACAGTTTATTTATTTCACTGTTTGTTTATTTATTTCACTGTTTGTTTTTTTCACCGTTTTTTTTTTTCACTGTTTGTTTTTTTCACTGTTTGTTTATTTCACAGTCTCAAAACTTTCAGCTCCTTTAGGACATTCCTGCTGTGACTTTTGATATTTGCAGTTTTTACTTTTTGCAATATTTAGCTTTGTCGGCCATGTTTAATCTCATTGAAAATGGATGGAGCTCTCCTCACCTCCTTCAGATCCTTTCAGCTGTTTGCAACCTGCTCATTTCAGCTGATGTTCAGCTTCAGCTGGTGTTCAGCTCCTTTATGCAGATTTTTGTCTTTTTGTGCTTTTGTTCAGGGTCTGACTGCTGATTTCAGCATCTTTTGCCCCTTTCAAAGTTTTTCAGCTAAATTCAATTTTTGTCTGTAGTTTCAGCTACTACGTATGTATTTTTCCTAATTTTAGCCTTTTTTGCCTTTTTTGTGCTAATATCAGTTCTTTCTAATCATTTCAAATTTCTGCTAAATTCAGCTCGATTTTTTTTTTTTTTTTTTTTTTTTTAGCTTTTCAGATACTTTTTTGCTTCAGCTTTGTAATTTATTCAGCCTCTGTCTGTTTCAGCTTATTCTGCTACATTTCAGCTGTTTCTCTGCTGCTTTCAGCAAATGCCAGCTGTTCAATTTCAGCTCACATCATGAGTTTTGAAATGAAACCTCTTCAGCAGAAGTCCTTCAGCGGTCACGTTGACAGGAAGTGACATCACTCTGGTTGTTAATCGTTTGCTCTTTGCAGAGAAAGCCAGGTGGAGCTAAGGGAGCATCTGGACAATTTGGCCACGGGTAAATAATGTTTTTCTGTCTGTTCAAACAATTTAATTTATCAAACAAATGAAGCAAACTTCTAAATAGATAAATCGGCGAAGAGGTTCCCACTCGGTCCTGATCCATGTTCCGTCTCCACAGAGTTGTGCAGGATTAACGAGAACCAGAAGGTGGCGCTGGACCTGGACCCGTACGTGAAGAAGCTGCTGAATGCCAGAAGAAGAGTGGTGCTCGTGAACAACATCCTGCAGAACGCTCAGGTCACTAACCAGCTGAAGGAATGCATGTCGCCCTTAACTTGTGTTAAAATCTGTCCGGTAGTTTGAGTTATTTTGCTAACAGACAGACGAGGTTAACTCCCAACAGTTAATGCTTTAGGTGAAGGTCGCACAATAAGAAGCACTTATGACTCTCAGCTACTACCACACCAAATCTTAGCTCCTTGTCTGAGGTACAGCCACTTTTGTGTTGCTTAAAGTCGGCTGGCTGTAGCGGCCATCTTGAATTGGTTAGTCAGTTATGAATGTACACCCAGTGATTACTTCCTGATGGCTTCATTGAAACCTACCCAGTGGTTCATGAGAGATTTTGCTAACATACAAACACACATAACAAAAGACTTGGAACAGCGGCGAGTCGTGTCAGCTGCAGACAGTAATCTGATTACTGCGTCCACAGGAACGCCTCCGACGACTCAACCACAACGTGGCCAAAGAGACGGCTCGGAGGAAGACCATGCTGGAAGCATCAGGAGTGTTCGCCTCTCGCTCCCCCAGTAAACCCTGACCCCCCTTCACCTCGGAGGCCTGGACATGATAACCCTCGTCTTCCTCTAATATTTAATGTCCGCTTGTCTAATGTTTCCTCTGTGTCGTAATAAAAAACAACAACTTTAAGTTATTGTGTGAAGCTGCAGGTGAAGACTTTTAATCCCAGATGATCTGTTGGAGTGTTTGGATTAAATGCTCCTGTTTGATGCCAACAAAAGACAGATTGAGCACAAACACTTTAACTCCCAGGCGCATGCTTGATCTACTTTTCGTATTTGATATTTATGTGTCTGTGTCTAAATCTGGACTCGTTTAATTATTACTGTAACGTGCTTTATGTTGGGGTGAGTCACGTCTCCAGCTCGGCTCTAAACAGGAACCTGTGGGTTTGATCATATTTCTCCAGTTTTTTGTCCTCCCTTCACTGGCTCCCTGTACGTATCAGAATAGAAACGACCTTGAACCCTCATCTCTCTGAGCTACTTCAACCAGATGTTCCTTCTCAGGCACCAAGATCATCTGATCAGCTGGTTGGTTGTACCAAAATCTAGATTGAAGCTCAGGAGATCGGGCTTTTTCAGTTGTGTTCCCCAAACTCTTGAACAATCTCCCCCCCAACATTAGACAGGACACTTCCTGTTTTTAAATCCGCTAAAGACACATCTGTTTTCGCTGACTTTTAACACGGCATGAATTGATTTAGTATTTGATTGCTTTGTGGGGTCTTTTTTTATGCTTTTAATTTTTTTTTCTTTAAATTGGTGCCATTGTTTTTTTTTAATTGTTTAAAACTTGGATAACTGCTGTTTTTAAATGTGCTTTATAAATAAATTTGACAACATTATATGAACTACTACTCAGAAGGTTCAAACCACAGTTTGTTGGGTTTTAGTTGAATAAGTATTGAAATTACATTTTTTTTTGGTCATCACCATTTTTGACTGTGTGGTGCGATGGTTTGAGCCCCTCGGATGGGTGTGAAGTGTCTCATCAGTGGATCCGTGCATGTCAAACCCTCCAGAAAGCTGCGCTTCACAGGAGAGGCCTCTGAATTAATTTTTTTTTTTTTTAAACTAAGAGTTTGAAAGCAGTGTTTAAAAGACTAAATGTAGTGAAGGATGTAACTAAAACGGGACATTTATGGAATCTTATTTCAGTAAATAATAATCTCTCATAGAATAAACATTAAAATAGTACAAGTTTAGAAGCTTCTATTCATATTTGGCCTAAAATGACTGAAGGAACGGGTGCAGTACACAGTGCTCGCCTCTAGAGGGCAGTGCATGACGTCACTGACGTTTGCTACCGGAAGTTGATGCGACTGTACAGGAAGTCGACGGGCAGAACTTAATACAACATTTACAGATGACCGCAGTGGAGTTGGTTATTTATGTGATAAAACGTAAAGCAGCTACAGAGCTAGCGTTCAGCTAGCAGCTGAAGTAGAAGCTAAAACGGAGCTAGTTCAGTCGGTGTCAGAATGGACTCCTGGGTTCGGTTCAGCGCTCAGAGTCAAGCCAAGGAACGAGGATTCAGGTAAAAATACCACGTTTACTTTTGATTTACAAACAGATTAATCAGTTTTTATTTGATTTGTTGGTTTCATTCTTCAAACTGAGGCGGAAAACAAAATAATACAGGCCAGTGCTCACCTGAGATAATACTGAGTGATAGCATTGATTACTTCCAAGATGCAGTCCAGGTACCTTCAGGGGGAAGACCTGGTTCATGCCATGTGTGTACCTGGTATCTATGTATACGTATGGACCAGCTAGTACAAGGTACTTGCCTAGTGTGTACTGGTACCTATAAGAACCAGGCTGTATTATGAAGTAACTTGTTACCTTGTAAGTACCTGGTATGCACTTTGTGGGTATTTGACAAATACCAGGGAGGTACCTGTTTGGATGTAGTGTCATGCAAAGTGTCTAAAGTTTTCCCACTTTGTTTCTTGTCAGGTTTGTGTGAAGTCCGGTGAAGTTAGCTTCAGGTTGGATGTTCGCGCTCCGCAGATTCAGCGGTGTCTTCCTCTGGCCATCTGATCCCGGGCAGCTACCCTCTGCATGCTCCCTCCTCCGACCCGCTTTCCTCAATGCTTTTCTGAACACAACGCACAACAATGCAGTCTGTTTATTTTTCTTAGCACGATAATGCAACAGAGCCGGTCAGAGTTACATGTGGACACGCATTACAGAAGACATCCACACACATATAAACATGTCCAAACAACAGATTTAAAAAATGCTGACGCAGTTCTCAATACAAATACCACCTGTTATGTTGCAACAACTCCAGTGCTTCTGTTGTACTAACACACAATCCATTAAGAAGTTCAGGATCAGTAATACTCCAGGTACACAAAAACACATGTAGTCTGGCTACACTAACTCTTATGAAGATATACATTTAAATGATCTTTAATAGTTACAGATTCAGAGCACTTTTAACAGCACACATACATGATGCATGACATGATTAAAACAAAAAGTTCTCGGCTTACTTTGACCAGGACACCACAGATGTTTCCGTCCTGTTGAACACGGGGGCTCCTCGCTCCCCCTTTCCATTTATCATCACTGAGCCTGTTTTCCCTCAACATCTCCTCATCGTGAAGTATTCCCTGTAGAATGCTGAAATGGTTTAATTAATAATACAACTCCATTGACAACTGAGGCCCCTTTCCGATTAAACTAGTAGTTTTCATTCATTCAGCCTTTATCTATACAGGTTAATCCCACTGAGCCTCAAGGAGTCGTTCTGGTTTTAACAAAGAGTGATGACAACAGTGGACAATCGTAAAAGAAGCATTGAGAAGAACAAGTGGAAGAAATTGGTATTAAAAAGTGAAGGAAGAACCCCCAGCTAGGTTGTAACATAAGGCGATGTAGAAAACTAAAAACAGGAACATGTCTGCATTGGTTTTTGCCATGAACTTATCCAGTTAATCAAACTGAAAGCCACCTCATTGTTTGTAAACAGGAATAAAACTAGTGTAATTAATTTAAGCTGTATTTGAAACATTTATTCAGTGTTGATTTGTTCTTTTTGAAGCATAACTGGAGTCTTCAAGCTCGTGATTTGTTAAAGGAAACGAACCACAACAGAACAAATTTTATTTTTACTGTTCTTTTTTTTTTTCATTCAACCTTTATTTATACATGTTAGTTCCCGTTGAACCTCAAGGACCCATTTACAAGCGAGACCTGTTACATACAACTTACAGAGTAGATGAGGAAAAGAGAACATGAGTCAGAGTCTTTATTGTCGTTCCACCACATGTGGTGGGACAAATTTCTGTACACAAGGTCCCAGTTACATCCAACAATAAAATGTAAAAGAAAAACAGTAATAACATCTAAGATATGAACTAAGAAAAACATCAACTAAATATACACTAAGCACTAATAGCATAAAAACATTGAACATCAGCACAAACATGAACATGAGTCTGTGTGAGCAGACGAGCACGAATGAACAAATCAACATGAAACAGATCAGCAGCAACATGAATCAGATCAGCAGCAACATGAATCAGATCAGCAGCAACATGAAACAGATCAGCAGCAACATGAAACAGATCAGCAGCAACATTGAAACAGATCAGCAGCAACATGAAACAGATCAGCAGCAACATGAAACAGATCAGCAGCAACATGATATGGTTTTTCACAGTGATTATTCTGGTTAGAGATTCATGAGTCTAACAGCCTCAGGGTAGAAGCTGTTCCTCAGTCTAATGGTTCTACACTTAATGCTCCTCAACCTCCTTCCTGAGGGGAGCAGGACAAAAAGTGTGTGTGCTGGGTGAGTGGGGTCCTTCATGATGCAGGTGGCCCTCTTCCTGCATCTGGAGGTGTAGATGTCTGTGATGGTGGGGAGACTGACTCCACCAGATTTCTGTGCAGCCTTCACCACTCTCTGCAAAGCTTTTCTTTCTGCAGCTGTGCAGCCTCCATGCCACACGTTGATGCTGGAGCACAGGATGCTCTCCACTGCACACCTGCAGAAGGAGGTGAGGACTGAGCTTCCCAGACCAGCTCGCCTCAGCCGTCTGAGGAAGTAGAGTCTCTGATGAGCTTTCTTGATCAGGCTGGTGGTGTTGTTGCTCCAGCTGAGGTTGTTGTTCAGGTTCACACCCAAGTACTTGTAGCTGGAGACCACTTCCACCGCAGAACGTCATGTTGGGGGGAAGTAGATGTGTTTGTTTCTTCCTTTCTTCAGATGAGGGTGGAGGAAGTAAAAATACCACATCTCACACCATGTCCTGTCTGGGGCACAGTGTAAAAGATGCAAAAAAAGACCTTCCAACTAGGCCTGTCGTGATAACAAATTTTGCTGGGCAATTAATTGCCTCAGAAATTATTGCAATAAACGATAATATTGTTTGAAATTTGACAATAATTAGTAATTATTGTCAAATTTCAGAAGAAATGTTAGTTAATTTGTTTTGCGTGTAGTACCTTTTTTGACTGCCGGATGGTCGTATAAGACTGTTTGAAATGAAGGATGGACAGTGAGGGAGCAAGCAGTGTGTCTCTTTAAGAAAAATGGGAGGGAGGCCCCTTGACGTGACATGAGCTGTCTCTCTTCAGTTCTCAGAATGGCAGACGCTCAGTGTGGTTTGAGCTCTTTAGCATAGCATTTTTCACACAAAGCTTTTAATAAAAAAAATCAGTAAACAAGTTCTCAGCTTCTTTTTGCAGAGAAAAAACTTTACACGAAGGCACGGGTTTCATCCGTGAATTTTGGAGCTTCGACAAGACAGAGGTTTTTTCCCGAGGTTGGGCTGTTAGCTTAGCTTCTCAGATTAGCCTCTTTTAAAGAAAATAGAAAGTGAGGGGTCAGTGAAGTGGAGTTCATCCTCTTATCATCCAGTGTCTTCAGTAGAAAGAGAGAGACATGAAGAAACGATAAAGCTGATAAATGAAAATGATGTTGATAATTTTCATTTATCATGTGATTAATTGATTTATTGTTCATCACGACAGGCCTACTCTCAACATTAACAGCAACATA